TTATGTTTTATTTCCATTTGTATTTATTTTTTTTATAATTTATAACTTTTTATAATTTATAAATACATTTATTTTACAATGAAACTAGAAAAGAAACTAGAAAAATTTTTCAAACTGTTGATAAGATTTTGACAAAACCTGCAGCAACATGTCTATTGCAAACCAACATATTGTAATCAATCCTTGTCTCGATGTTAAACAGAACAAAATTATCGATAATGTCAGTTTTAATACTAAATTTCATTTGCCAAATATATATACCAAATAGCATTCTGACAGATGGAAAAATATTATGTAACAGATCTATTATATTCATTAACGATATTAAAACACCTTCATCTAACTCAAGCGATGCATCGAAACAAGAATTGATTACAATATGTTGGTTTGCAATAAACATGTTGCCACAGGCTTTGTCAAAATCTTATCAATAGCTTGAAAAATTCTTCTAGTTCCACTGAAAAATAAATGTATATTTATAAATTATTTAGAAAAATAAATAGAAATTTAACCTTACAGACTGCGTTTCACCAATGTTATTTATACTTATCTGTAGCTGCATATGATGCATGACAAATAACTATATGACAAACTATATGACACTCCTTTGGCAAATATACTCAAATATGGATTCTTGATGTGTATGTCTATATTAACTGATATGTGTGTCTATATCGATAAATGCTCGCAGTTATCCATAATGGCTTTTGAAAGATATAAGTTAAATTTTCCAAAGTGCAACATTATATAGCGTAGCACTCTTTTATTTATAAGAAAGTGAAACTGCAAAATTCTTCGTGATACTTGTGGATAGTTGAATCAGGTATAGAATACAAACACACACATATCTTATAATAAACATATTATAAAATACACATATCTCTTTCTTATCATAAATATAGAATATCTTTATATGTAATGCAATGTTATGTTTTGTTTTTACACATAGCATAAATTACTTTTGCAATATTTTATTTGTCTCTATAAATAAGATAAGAAAATATTCTATACATTTATGACAGGATGTTTATATTCTATTCTATATATGTTTACTATCAGATATGTGTGTGTGTATTTTATACCTGATCCAACTATCCGCAAGTATCACGAAGAATTTTGCAGTTTTACTTTTTTATAAATGAAAGCGTACGCTATATAACACTGCACTCTTGCATTGCAAATTTAACCTATACCTGTCAAAAGCAGGTATGGATACGAGCAGTAACATCACGAAGTGCCGCTAGCGCTATCTTATGTCGAAGGCTCCAACCGTACAAAATTCGCGCATTGGGGACTTGCGTGAATGATGAGCGTTGATGATGATAATGATAATGACGTGGACGTTTCTTAAGAAGAAAATTTCATATTAAGACTTTGCATCATGATATATCTATTTACAAAACACGTAGAGCAAAAATGAAGACACTTTCTTTATGTAATTCATATTTAGGCTATCGATTAAGCCTAGTAAGAGCTTGATCCGTTCATCGGTTATATTGAAATCTGAAAATCTCAAAAATTTCAATACTCTCAACGGGCCGACTCGCGTGAAGATACACGGTGCGTCTTGCTGTTGCGCGCGATTTTTAACTACGCGCTTACTTGGCGCGAGACACTACCGTGTCTCTTGATAGAATACAATGTTAAATAAATAAAAGAATGCAAAATTTCACAATTTTAATATTTTCTGCACCTTACATTAAATAGATCTACTTAAGTTATAAAAAATAATTCAATTGAATATTATGCATTATTTTTTTCTATTTATTTAGCGTGATTTTTTTGATTTCACTTCTTTTTATGCTAATATTTTATGTTGTTTTTCCGTGTTATTAATACAATAGATAAAATGTAATTTATAAATATAAGTATTGAGAAGATAATATTTTTGATGGCGATAAATTTTTCTAAAGTAAATATAATTTTTGAGAAGATAATATTTTTGATGGCAATTAATTTTTGTAAAGGACTATTTTGGCTGGAGAAAGATATACTTAGCGCTTTTTTTACATCTGTGATGTTTTTTTTAGATGGGTTTCACATATTTTTGCAAAGTTTATTTTAAAATATTAATAACATCAATATATCAAAAAATATATACGTGCGTGTGTGCGTGCGTGCGTGCGTGCATGCACGCGTGTGTGCAACTATCATCATGTCTTTTAATAATTGCAATAATACTTTTGTTCTTACTTTTTCTCTTTGTTTTTTCGTATGTTCTGCATATTTGTTATTATTTATACCTTATATTGTAATAATAAATAAATGCTACTTTGTTGTATTAATAATGCAACATAAGTATGCTAAATAAAAATATTCTTGTATTACGCAATAAATTTATAAAATGATACAAAATCGACGAGCTCAAAAAATTTATTTAAAAAAAAGTCAAATTTTAAATCTAATGATAGTAAGATTTATTAACTTTGAAATTTCACGGGCAAAACTATTACTAAATTCACATATCTCAATCACATATTCTCGTTCTTCTTTTACATTTTCTAATAGTAATAATAATAATAGTAATAATAAAATACATTTATTTTAATTTAATATTAATAACACATTTAAATAATATATATTATTTTGATACCGTAATAGCACATACCCAGTGACCATCATATTTCGACATACTGCTATGCGAGATGATTTGTATATGATTTCGCATAGCTAAATAGGCTCTATTTTTTCGGGACATTGAATTCTCCATGTATCACGAAGATAGAAAGAAGAGCAATTTTTTAGTAACATTTGAAATGCGTCCATACGGATATCTTCTGTTATAGCCAGAAAAGGCTATATACGAATTTCTAGATATATAGTATTTTAGAGATATTATTTTATACAATAAGACATTGCTCAACGTGTAACGCGAAACAGATCACGTTACGAACGCTGACCGAGCGAAGCGCTGACAACGCGAGCCACGCGCGAAGCCCGAGCGACCGCGCAATCACTTCATTGCGAAAACGCGGAAATCAAGGTAAGCGGAATAAGGCCGTTGCGAAAATGCAACGTAGAGGTCCTACCTAAAAGCGAAAAGGACAATTACTAAAACTTTAAAGATTATTGTAAATATAATGTCAACGAATTATGTTTCTATTGTAACAAGAAAGACGAAATATATACTTATATTACATTTATTATACAGGGTGGCCGACCGAAAACGAAACTGGCATGCTTTTAGCATTTAACCTCATTTGTTCGAAAAACGCTCGGACAAGTCAATTTTATTTGCAAGGGGGACATGTTAATTGGCATACATGTTATTTCTGTTCACTTAACTTCAGCTCCAAAAAAGGGGTTAATTTCACCCTAAAAATTTTGCTAAAAAATACGCCTGTTTCGTTTTCGGTGGGCCAGTCTGTATATATTTATTATATATTAACGGGAGACGTTATCGCGTTTCTTGATTTTGCTATATAGTGTGTTTCATAATTCCCCTTTACGAATTATTCTATACTGCACAGAAAAAATGCGGTACATTACATAAATTATGAAAAATTATTATATAATATATTATTAATTTTATTTTAATATTTATGACATACATGCGTGCGTAAGTATTTATGCGTGCATGTGTGTGCGCGTACGTATGTGTGCGTATATGCGTGTGTGACCGAATTGTGTGTGCGCGTGCGTATACATATCAATGAATCTGGAACAATATGGCGTCTTACGAACAAAGCGACATACGCCTATCGGCGTATCAGTGAACCTGGACAACATGGTGTCTCGAAAAGTTACACATTTTTGGCCGAAAAATTCATATGAAATATCGAGATCTGTACATCAAGTGCATCTACCAGTGTCATTTTCATATTATTATATTCGGAAAAATGCATATTCTCGATTGATATGTTCATCTCTCGAAAGGATAGTCCGACATACGAGATATTTCGAACTCATTTTCTAAAATTTTCAAAAAACGTCCTCACTCTGGTAAATGATACACAGTAGCGTCTGTTTACAGTAAACAAAAAGACGACGAAAGATATACTTAGAGAGACGCTATCGCGTCTCTTGATTAATAGCCGCTCACTGCTCATGCGTACCCCGACTCTCGTCGCGGGGTCACCAAATTTTACGTTGCCGTACGACACTGCGAAGCTCGCCGCTGGCATGCCTAGAGCTTACATCCCACGGTCTAGCCGCGCAAAACACGCGCTCATTCGCCAATCCTTTTTAATTAATATTTCAATAATTATTGCGAAAATTGCAAAATGGTACAGGACTTTTCTGTTCAGTTCTACCTGCTCACGAGCGTTGTCAAGGGTGCTTTGGGACACCCTTTATATACATATACATATATATATATATATACTTCGTAAAGAAAAAATCGTCTTAGAATTGATTCAGGAATACGACTCTTTAAGGACAAACGTTTGTTCCGGATCACCCTGTATACATATACAGGGTGACCCATTTTAAAAGTTCCACCCTCATAACTTTTCGGGATCAACGTTTGGCTGCTCGAAGAATTTCATCAGCATCTAAAGATTGAATTGCTTCATTTATTCTACAGATCATATTGTCCCTCGTAGTCGTGCGTTCACGGTAAACCAAGTCTTTTATTCTTCCCCGCAAATAATAATCAAGGACAGTGAGGTCTGGTGATCGGGGTGGATAATTGATAGGACCGTATTTGCCTATCCACCTGTTAGGAAACATAACATTTAATGCTACACGAGCAACTCTGGATATATGTGATGGACATGCATCTTGCTGGAACCACATGTCCAGGCGCAATTGCAGAGGAAGATTTTCTAGTAAGATAGGAAGATCTGTCTTTTTCTTTACATTGATTGATTCGTATTGTTTGCAAAAATAAAAAGTAAGGAACGTGAAAAATAAATACTTAACAAAATATTATGTCACAATACTGTAACTTTCAAGCCTTATAACTCGAAAAGTACTTTATGAAAAAATACTTTATTAGTATATAAAATAACATATAGCATATATCATTTAAAGAACTTTTTAATGATTTTCTTATACAGAGCTACAGCAAAAAACAAGAAATATCTTAAAATGTTAGGTATAACACATTTATTGAATGCTGCTGAAGGAAAAAGATATGGATTTGTAAATACAGATAACAATTACTACGCTGATACAATGATAAAATATCTTGGCTTGCAAGTTACAGATTTACCTTCCGCAGATATCAGTAAATATTTTTATATAATAGCCAATTTTATTGATGAAGCAGTATCTACAGAAGGTAACTTAATCATATTTACATATTTTTGTTTGATCATGCGTGATATAATTTACATAAATAAAAAATTCGTAATTTCTCTTTAGGTAAAGTTTTTGTGCATTGCATGCAGGGTATATCTCGCAGTGCTACGTGTGTTCTCGCATATTTAATGATAAAGAAGAATATGTTAGCAACTGACGCTATACATTTAGTTCGCACAAATCGAGATGTTCATCCAAATAATGGTTTTCTTCAACAATTAGCAGAGTTGGATAATAGATTGCGTAGACAACGTTTACAATTACATTGAATATATGCGAAATATTTAGTTACAAATGATAATAATATTATTATTAAATGATATTGTTTTTTGAGATATTTGAATAAAAATAAATATACAATATATATACATATTAATAATTTAAATTAAATTAAAGCAATATAAATAAATATTAATTTAAATATTAATAAATAATTTGAGTTGATTTTCTTTTAATCTCAAGATGACAATAAAAAAATTTTTAATTACAAATATTCTTTCCAATTATAAAATTTTTATAATAAATGAAAGTAAATATAAAATAATTATGTTTAATAATTATTTAAAGGGGATTTTATAATCAAGTTTTTTGAAATTTGGTTTGTTTAATACAAATGTAAATAAACAAATTTTATTTGCTTATTATATTAAAATTATTTCCCGTAATTAATTTATATACATGGTGGCCCACGTAAAGTGTTACAAGCTAATAATTCTAAAAATATTTGTCAAATCAAAAAATTGTTCATGAGAAAGTTTCATGTTTTCGAAGGGTCTTTCTAACTACTAAACATAATATTGCCCCCACTCTCCCTCTAAAAAAGGCGGGGGTAACTTTAAAATTTTAAATGGTACCTCCCATTTTTTATTGC